ATTTTGAAAGATGACAGATGAGACAGGGTGGTGATGGAGGGGGACCTTCACTCAGGGAGAGGCAAGCCTATCCCTCACGCCTTCAGCTGGAAAACAACCCTGAAAAATCCCTATTTAAAGCCACGTCTGTGCCTGCCGGAGTCTATCGGCAGAGGGCAGTGACACTCGCACGCACACACACACATCCCCACACGTCCCTGCCAGCCTTTAATCCATCCTGCTTTTGCTGCTGTCACAGCAAGGCCACCTTCCACCACCCCTGCCCAAACCAAACGCCTTCAGTTTGTGATTTGAAAGGCATACCGCAAGGGATGCAGCAGGCCCGACAGCTGGCCTCTTTTTTTTTTTTCCCCCCCCTTTTCCCAAAGCCCACGTGATATTTTTCTTATGTGCTTCAAAGCTGGGGTTTGTTTGTTTTTTCAAAACCAAGAGCTCCGATTCCAGCATCTGCGAGAAACCTTACAGGAAATAACCCCTGCGCACAGAAGTAGTTGAGTGAACGTGCAATAGCAATATTTATCTTTCCCTTCCGTAGCACGGCACAGACGGCATGCAAGGCTATTTCTCCTGTCACTCACTGCATCCCAGCAGAAAGAGAGATGGAGGCTGGAGCTGCAGAATCAAAAGGCTGAGGCCGAGTGGGGAAGGGGAATGGGAGAGGTGGAAAGGTCAGAATGGGCGCTTTTACCAGGCAATGGGGAGCAAGGTTTTGGAAGAGGGCAGCCAGGAAGGACATGTGGGGAGAGGCAGGGGGTGCTCAGCAGCGGAAGCTTTGTGAGAGGCGGGATAGAGCAGAGGAAACGCAAGGAGGTAGGGCCGAGCACCGCGAAAGGAGCCAGCAGCTCCAAGGTGAAAGTCCGCAGAGGTCCCTCTCAAAACAACACCGAGCTGGTCTGTCGGGTTTTATGTACGTGGAGAGGCAGAAGGCCGCTTTCTCTCAGCGTATTGTCCTGGGACAGCATTCAGTCCCAAAAAGGGAGGAGAGCTGGCTTTGGGTGCAACCCACGTGAGGGAAGGACGCCCATCACAGCTAACTCACACCCAGGGAGACCGAGACAGCAGCAGGTTCATCTACGGCTTTGCAAGTCATTTTGGGAGAAGACTTAGAATTTCCAGGTTTAATTTCTGGCAGGAGTGCTAACATTTAAGCCACGTTTAGGAGGCCTAAAAATGCCAAGCATGCAAAATCTTCTGCCCATTTAATGACAAGCATTGAACAGCCTCCTAAAGGAACTGGAGAACTTTTAAAAGGTGATAGAGAAAAGCTCTGAAAAGGTCCCTGTGGAGGAGTCCTGTGGGCTGGGATCTGGGTAACTCAACTGGCCCTTTAACCAGCAGCCTCCTAAATAAAGCTTCCCCTCTCGTTTCAATGGTAGAGCTTCTCATCTCCTGTTGACTCTGCGGATGGATAACGAAGTGAAACAGCTCCTTTCACACAGGACTCAGTTCCCCACCTCACACTGAATGATTTCAGTTAAATGTTTTACGCTTTCGGACATTCCATGTTGCGTTGAGTCAAACTCACATAAAGAAGAAATTATCGTGGTGGATTTGGCTACGTTTGCTCTGACATGCTGCTTAAAGGAAAGGAAACGCTTCAGCCAGGCTCCTTGGTTAAACAGGACCGAGGGAATCCAAGTACAAGACCCTGAAGAGAGCAGGTGAGAACTAACAGATGTGTCCAGTGTTGAAGAGACGGACCCTCTCCCGACTGACACATTCAGTAACAGCCTCTGCATGTTCTGAAAATACAAAAAGAGGAAAATAACCACACTCTCGGTTGTTTACTGATTACTCCAACAAGAAATCTTCCCCAGCTGTCCGTCTCAAACATGCACAAGGAGAATTTACAGGAAGAGAGAAGATGCAGGAAAGAGGACGATCTGGGGATGAACCACGGAGCCAGTTTTGCTGTCCCGAGGGCTGCGCTCGTACGGGGAACGTGGCCGTGCAGGCACCCAAGAACGACCTTCACTCCCAACCCGCTGGCTTGAGCAAGCGGTAACATGAGCTCTTACCAAGCTGATTTATCTTGCTGAGGGCGGTTCCTTGCTTTGCCCGCTGGCTAGCCAGGAATTCTCGGTGGCTTGTGACAGAATTATATGTCATGCTCCTTTTGGTTTCCTTGGGCTTCACCCAAAACCACTTCTAATCAGAGAAAAGGCTCCCAGTGCATATACTACACTTCAGATTAGAGTTTGTCTTACTGTCTGGCATTGAAGACAAACAATTTCTGCGCTGGCTGTAAACCACAGACACTCTTTAGCAGCAAAATTCTCATTCAAACTTTCATTTGGGCTCAGGCTTAGACCTGGTTCCCAAGCAGAAAAATTTAAACCTTCAGCTTGCTACAGACCAGGCAATCATCAGCTACCTGACTCTGAGCACAGCGTAGTGCCTTCAGGATGGATGAATGCTGGGATAAAGACACCAATGAAAGCAGAAAGGCCACCAAAGAACGCGGCGTCCTGATGCCTATTGCCTGGCCCTTGCTTCAATTCAATGCGAGCCTTTCCTAAGGGACTGAGAGCACTTCCTCTGTTTTCCGCATATCCCTTCCTCCGACGGACAATGCTGGGCACGGCAGGAAAAGGAAGCGCATATGGTTTGCACTCAATGACGGATCACTGCAAGGAAAGGACGCGGAGAGGCTGTGGGATTGTCAAGGACCCTCTCACAGCAGGAGCCTGCAATACAGAAGGAGAGTTGTGTAGCTTTACAGTCTACGACATTATGCAACCCCAGTAAGCGTCCTTTGGCTGCTTGCTCTTGCATTTCAGTAGGACTTCAATAAATGCAGCTGATAGTCTACGATATTCCACAGGGAAATAAAAAAGGATAAACTACCAGCATTTGGAATTTTAGTGGTGCAGCAGTTTGTCTTAGCAAGGTGTATAATGAGATTTCCAATAAACCATCACCCAAAGGAATAAGCCTTTTTGTCTTACACGATACCAACCTAAGTGTTCACACAACTCATGTGACAGAAAGCGGCCCGCATTTGGACATCAGGAACATCCCATAAAGATCAACTCAAGACAAAACGCAATTGTGCTTATAAAAACATCAGCGCTAGCTCTTTCGTTTATCTGCGTTGCAGCAATATTGCACTCGCTAAAATAAAAGATACAGTCCATCTTCCAAGGAGATTATAATCCTATAAAAATCAAGTCTGGAATCATCCTTTGCCTGCCTGGGGCTGCATTTAAAAATGTTATTCCTGGCCTGCTCCACTTAAAGATCTCCACCCGTCTCATTTATCTAGCTGATGCGCAGTCCAGCTACTGGGCTACAACAGACTCACAGCCGAGTCCCATGGACAAACGTTATGAAAAAAAGGAATTATGTGTCCGCCTCTTGGTTGCTGGATGCCATCCGTGCAATCCGTAGGCAAATCTGAAGATAAAACTGCTTCAAAATGTGCATTGCCACGTTGCTGTCAGCCAGAATCCCGGTTTAGAACGGAGAGTGGGAATGCGGAGCGGGGGAAATTACCGTTTTAAGAGGCCTTTAGCGTCTCTTTTGTTTCCACACTGTATTTAAAGACAATCTGAAGTCAACTGCCAAATTGGCCTTGTCTGCAGAGCGCGGCTGGGTTTGGTGAGGCTGCTCAGGCAAACGCCGCTGCCAAAAGCTTTATCGGGATTTTGGCACCACGCGCCCCGCAGCGGCCCCTGCCACACCGCGCCCCTCCGCTCCGTCCTTGCGGCTCTTTGCCATCCCCACGCAGCAGCTGAGGGAAGAGGCCAGCGCAGCCGTTCCCTCCTCTACGCCGTAAGGCTGCTCGCGGCTGGAACGAGGACGCTTTTGACAGAAAAGTCAGGGAAAAGGCGTGTACCACACCAGAGGCAGCAAAGACTACAGATAGTGCTCTTTGAGTTAGTCGACAGACTGGGAATGCGCCTGCCATGAAGGAGAGAACGAAGGTGACCAAACATGAGTTGAAGTCAGTCAGGATGGCACCCTGAGGTGCCTCTCCCGGCTGGCGCTGGCCAGGCCGCAGGGACAACCCTTGCCCTGAGGTGAGGACGGGAGCCCCAGGCCCGATTTAGCTACCACAGCTCCAATGCGGGGTCAGCCCAGAGCACAGCTCAGCCCCGAGGGGGCAGTCACCGCCTCAGGCGGCGGCAGCACCGAGACCACCCAGCCGCGCCCCCCGCCCCGTCCCCCCGGGGCCGCCGCGCCCGCCGCCCGCAGACGCCCGCACACAA